GGAGGGGGCGCGCCCCAGCCGCACCGGCCGGAGGAGGAGCCGACGTCAGCTGGGACTCCCGGAGTTCAGACCCGCGCGGTTCCTGCGGCCCGAGTGTGTCCTTCTCTCCTGGTCCTCCGTGCGCGTTCTCAGTCGATCATTCACTGATGCGTCAGTCCGTCCGTCCGTCCGTCCGTCCTACAGCGTAGTATTGGTGGAGGGCCTAATCGGTGCAAAGCATTGTTTTAGATACTGGAATTACAACGGTGTACACAACGGATCAAAATCCTAACCTCGTGCAGCTTCACAGAGGCTCTTTCCTTCTTCAGCTGCATTAACTTCTTTCTATATGCTCCCCTTTGTTTAAAGCTTTTCAATTTGCTATTTATTTAAACTTTTGAGTCCTATAACATCTGTGCATTTTTCACAGACACAAAAAGTAGTCACTGCTATATGAAATAAATAACTCCAGATAAAGTATACTCTATTCTAACACATTATGTAGAGTCTTGTAAACCATCCTGAAGTTCAACGAACAGTATTGAAAACAGACTTTTCCAGACGCAATGCTAGGCACAGAATATATAAGGAAGAAAAAAAAGCATGATTCCTATTCCTAACAAGCTCCTGTTTTCCATCTCTTGTTCTTTTTGTTTTTGGTTATCTTCCAGCTCTCTATTCCTGCTTTTGTATTTTTTTAACCCCAAAAGCTATTTCCTATTTTTTATTCAGGGATTAAATATCTTTTCTTGTCTCTGAAGAAACTAATTGCAGTTTCCTCGAAATATTTTTTCCTCTCCTTTATTCACTGTCTCTGTTTCTTCAGAGTTTGTTTTTTCCCTTTTTGATCAATTTGGTTTTCATATTTCCTGCCACAGGGGGTACTCCAATGCCTGGTGATTTTCGAGTATCCATATTTAAGAGAGAAAGAGACGAAAGAAATTTATTGAAAGCCCATGTATGCGCAGGGCTTGTTTACTCACTGACAGCCTCCCTACAGAGTGATAAAATGAGATCTTGGCTAATTCGTTGGAGGATTTTTCTTCAAGTCATTATCCGTAGGTCTTTTCTCTTGGACCAATGGTTTTCCTGGAAAATAATTTTCCAATCTCTTGACCTGGAGACACAAATCAGACATCAGAATGTTACAGGGGGAAATGGCTAGAGGCCTCATAATTCAGTATTTAGCTTTCATTATTTCCCATTTTCAGTCCAACACCTTGACCCTCACCCTTAACTGTGCATTTCTGACTTTACAGCCTCTCTGGTTCATTTTCTTCATAAACTAAACCTGTAGAGTTCTGTCTGGGAGGGAAGGATGAATCACTTAGCAACCTCATGATGTCAGGAGGACATCTGGAGGTAGGGTTCTAATTGCTCCTTATTCGGAATTTTAGCAAAATGTTCTTTCAGGCCCAAATTTAACATCTTTCTTAGAAGTACCTAGTCCTGAATTTCTGAACATCTCCAGGGGTCTGGTATATGAATTAACTTGTTTTTTGTGGATTTCTCTACCTAGTTACTACACATTCACCCTTTTTCTAGCTTTCAAATTTTGTTAAAATCTCATTTGCAGTTATTTGTATTATTATTTTTATCCTGTCATTTTCGTAGATTTTGAGAGGCATGGTGTATAAATGTACAAGTTCAGTTTGCCATGTTTAACTACTCAGCACCTAGAATGATTTTGAAAATATATATTGTACATCATCAGACCATGCCACTCCCCTCTTTAAACACTCCAATAGTTTTCTATGAGGCCCTGCACGATTTGACTTTTGCCTACAAATCTGACCTCACATTGTAACCACTTCTAGAACAGTGTGCTTAGGTCACAAAGTGTTCTTGTTGCTCCAGTCTTAGAGGCTTTGTTCTTATTATTTTCTCTGCCTGGAATGCTCTTCCTCCTGTTGGCACAAGGTTGTTCATAAGCACACTCACCTCCTCAGAAAGACCTCTGCTAACTACAGTTGTCCTTTCTGTAAATAACCCAGTTTTATTTCCTTCGTAACACTTACCACGATCAGTTTATTTATTTGTTCATTTCCTCTCTACCTCAGAACGTAAGCTTCCAATGGCCTGGATTTTGTGTACTTTGATTACTGCTGCAGCTCCAGTTCCATGCAGAATGCCTTTTTAAAACAGACACTCATTAAATATTTGTTGAATGAAGTAAGGACGGAACCATAGAAATAAGATACCTGTGATCTTGTAACCTTGAGGCAAGAACCTGTCTTAGAGCCCCTGCATCTGCAGAGCATAGGTTGGAGTGTGACACCTAGCAGCACTTTAATGCGCACTCAGGTCCTAGTCAGTGGATACTGTGGCCTCGTGCAGTGCCCTGGGACCCGCACTTTCGTTCAGAAATACGTCAGAGCCGAGTTTCTCGCAGGGTGCCCGGGTGCGGGGACCCTGGCGGCAGGAGAGAAATGACTACCACTTCCAGAATGCACTGCGACCCCGTCCGGCGCGCCGTGCATGCCGGGAGCCCTCCCCTTCCGGGGCCGGAGGAAATGCTTTTTGAATGTGAGTCTGGAGGCTGAAGTCTTAGGGAGGCGCCGGTTCACTTGTCGGTTAACTGTGAATCTCCGGGTGAGGAGACGGCCTACGTTCGTCTCTCAGGCCGGGAAAGGTAATCGGCTCCGCGCACGCTCCTCTGCGGGTAGCCAGACGGCTTCCCCTGCGGGACCCCAAGAGAAGCGCGGCCTGCGGCAGTGTGGCCGTCGCCGTGGCCCGATCGCCGGGCCGGCCCGTGGTAGGAACTGACGGTCCCAGCTTTCATTTCCTAGGCCCAGTTCGTGGCTGAGCCGGTTTCGAGTCCTGCCTCGGGACGTTGGCGCGGACCTGGGCGGACCTGGCCTCAATGCGCCCTGGCCCTGCCGCCCCCTCGCCGCCTACCCACCGGCCTGTGGCGCCGGCCCCGCGCCGCTCGCACCCTAGGTGTCGGGGAGTCCAGCGTCTCCCGTGGCTGGTCCTGTCCCGGCCGGGCGGGAGCAACTCTCGGGGGGACGGTCTTTCCACTAGGGGTTTGGGGGAATTTCCTTCTAAAACCAGGGACCGTTTTCACTTGTCATAAGGGAAATGAGAAAAACAAGGACAGCGTAGGGACTTCTTATAAAAATAAATTCATTTAAATAATGGGAATACTTCCCTTATCTTTCTTTTCTTGTTTATTTTTAAGTCCGTAGCTAAACGATGGTTTGTAGTATGAAGGTTGTGGAGGTGAATGCTTTTTAAAAAATTATTTCTTAGCAAAATCACCTTTTGTCGGTAGCTAGTACTTTATTAGGCCACAGAACTCAGAAGTGCCTGCTGATTTAGTACAACTCATTTTATAGACCGAACCTCAAAGAGGTGGGCTGTTTTACTTAAAATTATGAAACCTGAGATTATAATCCGGTTCTCTTGACTCTCGAATCAGCCTGACTGGATCAGCACTTTGGCTAACCATTTTCTGCCTGTAGTGACATATCTGAGCTAGGGTTTACTCCATGGAGAATAATGATACTTAAACTAGTTTGATATTTATAAAGCTCTTTAACTATTAAGAGCTATTGTTAACGTGTGTTTATTTACACTCTCTTTGTTAACAAGTTTAAGTTTCTGTACTTAGATCAGTTGATAAGGCTTCTTTGTATTTTTTTACTTGATTTATCTTACCTGGATGATTTTATAAATGTTACTTTTTCTGTACCTCACACCATAGTTTTTGAAATATTTGAAAAATTATTTAAACTTGTATTATTAGTGCCTTTGTTTTATTAAACTCGTAAAATTGAAACGGGCATTTTAGGTGAGATTTATTAATAATTTACTATATTTGAGGAACAGTAAGTACAGTACATTGAAAATGTCTTCATCTAAGTACTCCAGTTTTAAATGAATTTAATTGTTTCAAGTCATTTTATAAAATGCATTTTCTTTTTCAACTCTTATTTTCTAACTTAAAATATTACTGTGTTCTTTTCTAGCTCCCTGATGTACCATGCTTTCTTGTGACATTTGTGGTGAAACAGTAACCTCAGAACCAGACATGAAGGCTCATCTCCTAATTGTTCACATGGAAAATGAAGTTACATGTCCATTTTGCAAGTTGTCAGGGGTGAATTATGATGAAATGTGTTTTCATATTGAAACTGCTCATTTTGAGCAAAATGAACGAGAAAGAAACTTTGAGAGGATCAATACAATACAGTATGGAACTTCAGATAACAAGAAGGACAACACCCAACAGTATAGAATGGAAGTTGATTCAAGTGTTCATTCAGCTTGTGCATCTAATCTTTCAAAAATGTCAGCTCAAAGTCTGCCTAAGGATGGTACTTTAAAACATAAAGCCTTTAATTCAGAGAATTTGACTGAATCTAGAAGACTCATGGAAAGTAAGGAAAAAGAGTGTGACCTATCCAAAACAAAAGGATCAATATATGAGACGATGTATAGTCCTCCTGAATGTCCATTCTGTGGAAAAAGAGAAGATTGTACTCAAGATATGGAAACTCATGTGAAAACAAAGCATGCCAATCTTTTAGACACTCCAGTAGAAGGTAAAATGTTCATTTTATATAATAAGCAACACTAGCCTCAGTTTAACATGCGGTGTCCTAAAAATTGGTTTGTAAATCAGATTATTGCAACCATGTTTTAAAAATCAGTTTATATCTATAACAGTGTTTATTTCCAATTGGTGCAATATAAAATACAATAATGGAAAAGAATTTGGATGCAGCTAACAAATGTTTCAGCCATATTGAGAGTAGCTTGTTGCCTTTCTGAGGAGAAAGACACCACCAATCCAGGGGCATCTGGACTGTCTCGGACTCTGACTATTTGTTATTGAGTCCTAGTTGATTCTCTTATGATCAGAGACCGCACTCTCATTTCAGTTCTTGCCAGCATTTGGTGTTTGTTTTCAGTGTTTCAAATTTGGGCCATTCTAATATGTGTTAGAAGTATCTTAATTTGCAAATCCCTAATAACATGAACATCTTTTGACATGCATACTTACCATCTGTATATCTTTGGTGAGGTGTCTGTGAAGGTCATTGGCCCATATTTTAATCTGGTTTTTGGTTTACTTATTGTTGATTTTTAAAGAGTTCTTTAGATATTTTGTTCTTTTTTTTTTTGGTCTTTTTTCTCTTTTCAGTTTGGGAAATATTCCTTGTCATATCCACAAGTTCAGACACTCTTACATTCTTTTTTTTTGCCATGTCCAGCCTGGTAATGAGCCCATCAAATACTTCTGTTGGTGTTTTTTTTATTTCTAACATTTCTTTTTCTTATGATGTTAATTCTGTTTGTGAAGATTTAGAGCACTGAATGTATTTTTGCTTCTATGTATGAAGATTAAAAAGATCTTTTTCCCCATAAAAGATGAGAGCAACCAATTTCACCATCAAATAGAAGTAAAAACTGGATTTCTTTTTAAATTAGTTCAAAGTGGCATTTAGGAACTTAGTTATAGGCTGCTATGCTAACACCATGACAAACCAAAGTGTAGAGTTGGGTCTGGTTTTCTTTTCTTTTCGATATCTAATGCTCATGGATTAAGTTTTGGAAATGTTCCGATTGTAAGGCAGGGATCTATTTGGATTCCACCATGGGTGTGCTCCTTGGGTTGGATGCAGGAGGGTGAAGCACGTTTTGCAGGAACCCTGAAAACTACCTGGCATTCATCCAGGTAAAAAACAATGGTTTCCTCTTGGTATTCCATTCCCTGGAAGTCTACTTGGTACTGCAGGATAACTCTAATTCCTACACATTCTTTCATGAACTGGGATGCTTGTGAATTATCTGTGACTATTTCCAGGGTAGCTCCAAATGTTTTATAGTTGTTAGCAAACCATTCCAACAGTGGCATGTTCCCAGTCAGCTCATATTTCTATCCTGTCTATGAAAATGAAACTTATACTTCTCTTGTTCTCCAGTTAGAGAAGTTACTCCTCTTCTGTGCCTTGGCAATGAGAAACATAACATTATATCAAGATTTTCATCAACGGTTAGAATCTCTTAACAGCTCCCATTTCCAAAGCCTTTAGTGTGCCTTTATCTCCAAAACAGCACTTATCTGTATCCTAGCTGATTTCATCTAACTGTTGTTGAAGTCATTTCTTCTTTTGAATAAATTTCACCTTGGAGAGGACATCAGTGGGTAGCTCTATACCTTAGTTTCCATATTCACCACTGTAGATTATATCAACTAATTTTAAGACTTGATTGCAAACTCTGATCAAACATATCAGATTGACTTAGTTCAGTTTTAAAGTCAGTTAATCCAATAAAAATGAAACCAGTCACATTCATTTTGTCCACAGAAATAAACAGCTGCACAGGAGTCTCAGCTACTTGCTGAACATAGTTATTCCACTTCCAAACCAAACCTTAAATGTCTGGATTGCTCAGTGCTTTCACTCTGTGTATCTGGGTTTCTCTTCAGTGTCCAGTATGGGCCAGGTCTTAGTCTGGCAGAGGTGTCACTTCTTCTCTCCTGGACAAACTGCACTTATCTGCCTGCAGTGCTATTTGAGGGATCAACTCTGATTTCTTGCTCCCAACTAGGTAGAATGATCCCAATATCTAGCTTTATGCTAAATGCTTGAATTCTGAATCTCACCACTTAGTTTGAACAGTGCTGAGAATTGAGCCTCTAAAGGCCATTATCTAGACTGGCTCCTACCTACCATTTTAATTTTCCTTTCTACTTTTCTTGTTTTGACTATAGATCTCAGTGTTTGTTAATATTTTCTTTTATTATAGTGGTAAGAAAGGTTAGTGCTTATGCTCAGTCACATCTTGACCCTAGAAATAGAAAAATGGCTTTAAATCTAATTATAAAAAGCTTTTATTTATTTAAGGAGGTTAGTGGATAGTAGATGTGGTACATAAGTACAATGGAATATTACTCAGCTATGAAAAGGAAATCCTGCCATTTGTACCCACATGGTTGTACCTTGATAGCATTATGCTAAGTAAAATAAGTCAGACATAAAAATCAAGTAACTGTACAGTCTCACTTATACATGGAATCTAAAAAATAAAAAACCCAAACTCATAGAAAAAGATATTTGATTTATGATTACTAGAAGCAGGAGTGAATGATGGGGAAATTGGATGTAGGTGGCCAAAGGTACAAACTTTCAGTTTTAAGATAAATAAATTCAGGGGATGTAATGTAGCATGTGATGACTATAGCTAACACTGCCGTATGCTATATTTAAAAGTTGCTAAGAGGGTAAACCCTAAAAGTTCCCATCACAAGGGAAAAAAACATGTTTTTCCTTCTTTTTATATGATCTTTAGAGGCTAAATTCTCAGCACTGTTCAAACTAAGTAACTGAACTTCCAGTAACTGAACTTATTGTAGTGATCATTTCATAATATGAGTAAATCGGGTCATTGTG